CTTTGGCTATTATGATAATGTTGCTATGAACATTTGTATACTAGTATATATGAACATATATTTTCATTTCTGTCAGAGTGTTTACCTAAAAGCAGCATTGCTGAGCTCTATGGTAGCTCTACATTTAATCATTTGAAGAATTGCCAGAATGTTTTCCAAAGTAGCTGCACCATTTTACATTCTCATCAGGAGTGCATGAGGATTCCTATTTCTGTGTGTCCTCACTAACGCTTGCTGTGATATGACTGTTTTCTTCTGGGCATCCTAGTGAGTGGTTTGTATTTCCATCCCTGGTAACTAGTGATGTCAAGTATTTTCTCGTGTTTCTTGGCCATTTGCTTTGGCTTGAGAGGAAGAACCTCATCTTGCAGAACATTCTATCGTCTTACCCTCCTTCTTTCTCCTTACCTTTTACCACCTATACCACCCAAATACACACCCAGGGCCAAGCTCTTCTGTTTCACAATACAAAAGAGCTCCCCTTTCCACAGTGAGATTTATGCGGAAAGTTCAAAAGTTCTACAGCCATGATTCTTAATGGAAACTGTTGTGGCTTAATAAGGAATGTTGTGACCTCCCATCAAGTGTCTTCACTACCCTTGGCTGAACTCCAAGCTCACGTCAGTGCCCTGAGTATCTCTTTGCATTTCACACATGTCAGTGGAAAACAATGGACAGCCGGCCCTCAATGCACTCTTGTTGACTGAAGGAAAGACCCATAGGTCAACTCATTGGGTCAAGTCAGGTGGACTCAGAGGAGCAAATGCAGAGGGTTTGGGATGAAGAGTCCCAATCATAGCACAAGGGAAGTTCCATCCAGGAAGACCCAAGAAGGAATTGCTAGGAATGGCAATAAGAACTCCAAGGTAAATCCAAATCCGTATAAAAAACAAGACATATCCTGAGATGAAAAAGCCATTTTTCTGGGCTTTGGTCTTTATTCCTGGTAGATGCCAAGAGATGAGAAACTAACAACATAAGTGATCTTGACAAATGGGCAAATTGTCTTCAAGACCAGTTTCTTCAACTATTTAATTTATTCACTCATTCATTTGTTCTCTGGACAGTTGTGGATTCTGGGCTAGGTATGCAACAGAGTGCTAAATGTCCAGGATATAGTTTAATCAAAGTCTTTAAAATCCAGCCAGGATTGAATGCCAGAGAAACCAACATGAAGGATTGGGTCGTTCTTCCTGAGAGGGCTGAAGAAAGCCTCCATTAACAAGGTGATTCTTGACAGAGAGGAAGATTTCTGCCACATAGATCAAAGAAGCAAAAAAAATAAAAAAATAAAAACAGTTTACAGATAGTCAACATAACATCAAAAGAAAGTAGAAATGGAGTTTATCTCTCCTGTGTCCTCAATTTCCTGGCATTCATATTCCTACTCTACTGAGGTATGGAACTTCCAAGTCCATATCCCTTGGTTGGTGTTAACATCAAATTAACCCAGTTTGAGATCTAGTAGTTCCTTGGGATTTACAGACACTCAGGATTATTACAGAGCATTATTTCTGGAGCCCAGAGTCTACCTGAGGTGCTCCTTGACTGCACCCTGGCAGATGCTTCTTCAATTTGCAGAAGTCGTGTCAATCCAACGGCAGAGTGGGGCCTATTACAGATGAGATTATGGTTCAGTGATGGGTTCAATGTCTGGGCTTGTTCCTGGGTACTGGCACAGAGCTTTCTTCTGTCTACCAACCCTTACATACCCAGGTTCTGCTGGTTCATAATACTCCCATATATTCACCAACCGCAACCTATGGACTTAGAAACTATAAAATCTCCATGCTGGCCCTTGGGGCCTGCAACCTCAGGACCGCATCGGCTTTTTAGGCAATTGAGTATCTATCTCTTAGAAAAGAGCAATAGTTGAGGTGGGGATGGAAGTGTATTCACAAAGCAATGAGTCCCTCTTCCCGCTTCCATGCTTGAAACCCCTTCTCCATTCCTAGTGGAGGGTTGAATAGCATACTTCAAGCTCTGCTTGGAGGCTGTTCTCATCTTCTGCCTCTGTGTTTAAGAATATTGAGGTCCTTTTTCTATCAGTTTTCCTTATTACTTATTACCATATGTACTTATTTCCTGTAACTTATTACAGTGATAACCTTGACTTACCTGGTCCAATCCTCTGCTATAACATATACATTAGTAAAGTTCCTGGTTGCTCTTCCATGAGATTTGGGATCCTTCTAGTGGTTTGCTCTTTTATGTTTATTGGATGGTCCAACTTGCACATCCATGCAGCTTCATACCTGGCATTGTACACATGCTCAATCCCACTCTTGCTGAAGCAAGAGACAGGCCTGGCAGCCAGAGCAAGTCCTGCAGCTTTGGGCCAATAACGGATGAGTCTTGAGTGCTGTTCTCCTCTGCCTCAAAGCATTAGTTAGAAGGCAGTTGAGGTGCCAGCCCACATATCAAGAGATGGGGGTTTATTAGGTCCTCTGGTTGAATGGATTAAAGTATATCCACATAACAAATAACAAAGTGCTGTGCAGCCATTAAAAGAGAATATTCCCATTAACTGATAGGGAGTGATAGTGAAACATATTGTCAGTAGAAAAAAAAAGACACAGTATAGATAGTGATATTTGTATGAAAAATAATAAATAAGGATGTAACCTGTGTTTATGTAAATATATATTTGCATATTTATTTTAAAGCAACACCATAAAAGTAAGTCAGAAATCAATAAAAATGAATAAATATCATGGTGGATAGGAGAATGAAATAGAATAGAGCAAGAATCAAAAATTCTCTCAGTTTACTTTCAAAAATAGTTTTGAAATTGGGCACGGGGTGTGACCTGTAATCCTAGCTACTCAGGAGGCTAAGGCAGGTGATCACTTGGGCCCAAAAGTATGAGGCCAGCCTGAGTAATATGTGAGATTCCAGCTCAAAAACTTTTTTTTGACTTTTGTTTTGTTATACTGACAAAAAACTTTTACCTTTTCATATTTTTATTTTTATACATTTTCTGTATTAAAAAGAAAAGCATAATTACCACAAATTACAAAGGACTAAAGCAGGACTAGAATAATGACTGAATCACTTCAGCCTGGGCAGCAGATACTCTCAATAAGATTAATGTTCTAACACAAGCTCACTCAAGTATTTTACATTTGTACAAAAAAAAATTAAAAAGATGAGAGAAATCCTGCCCAAAATTGTATACCCAAATAAATTAACATGACTGTATATCAAATTGTAACACAATTACATGACAAAAAATTATTTCAAGAAATGGTTGAACATGTACTTGAGCTATATGGTAGGGTGCTCTTGTGAGCAAAAAGTATTACAAATAAACTTTGCGCTTATTGGGTTTGTTGTTAGCAGTAAAGTTATTATTATCATTTTGAGACTACTATGTGAATGCTGTTGGATAGTTCAAGAAAGTACATAGCTGTCCCTCAAAGTCCATGCAGGATTGTTTTAGGGACCTTCAAGGATACCAAACTCTATGGGCTCTCACGTCCCTTATATAAAATGATATAGTACTTATATATAACCTACTCACATCCTCCATGTACTTTAAGTCATCTCTAGATTACTTACAATACCCAATATAATGTAAACGTTAGGTAAATAGCTGTCGTACTGTTTAGAGAATAATGAGAAGAAAAGTGTCTGTGCAAGTTTAATTTAAATGCATGTTTTTCTGATTATTTTGATGTACAGTTGGTCCAATCTATGCGTCTACAGTTGATTCAATCTCTGTTCTCTTTGTATGTGCTGCTCTAGTAGTACTAAAATAGCCTCTCTTGGTCCCAATGAAGGAGCTCTCTACTCCTCTCCATTATTCTCATCAGGCAATTCAGTGTTTTTTTGATAGGCAGAAGGGCCTCAATAGAGACCATTGGACCTTCTGTGCTGGGGAGGCAGCCTGTGTTGCATAGAAGTTTAAAATATTTCAGACAAGTACCCATTTGTAATAAGTCTCCATGCCTCTTTGTTCCAGGGCTGAATACACCAGTACGATCCAGTCCATCCCTAGAGATTAGGCCCTCTCTCCTCATAGGTGCCTAGTGACTTCCTACTTAGCCTTGGGGCTTGCTGGCTAGATCCTGACTGAGGGTTGGGGTGTTCCTAGAGTGTACTAGTCCTTACTGCTATTGGAGAAACAATTAAAAATAAAAGCTACCATTCCAGGAAACCTGTTCAAAAACAAAGGAAAGTGGGTGGGGATTGGCAGGGAGGAATCAACCAAACAATTTGTATCTCAGATGTATTCAGCTGAAGAAGTTGTCCCTAGATATTTGTGTGTAGTAAAAGGTAGAATCATGCTAATCAAGACACCATTTAGTAATCAGGAAACTGTTCTGATACATAATAAAAAGGAATTGAAGGCATTATTTCCCAATCAATCATGCCATATAAATGTGGCCAAATATGAATCCAATATATTTCAATGAATTTCTTTCATGGTCTTCCATTTTGCTTTAAATCTGTTCCAGGGGGACTTGATGTTTTGGGTATACATGCCAAGTAGTAACATGAGATAGAAGTTGGCTTCATCGCGGTTAACCTGAGCATGTTGGAAACCAAGCAGAGGCTGAATATTCTTAAACTCAGCCCAGTGAATGATGGAATCAGGATACACAATGCATTGCAGTTTAGGTAGCACAGTTGAGACGTGATGGTCACTAACAATTTCCAAAGAGCCGATAACTTATTGATGGATAATCTCCATACCAAAACTCCTATTTCCCTCTCCAGAGCATGGCCACAATACTTTGTAACTGAGTTGCTGAGAAATAATGAAGGCATTCCTGACACATGGGCTGAGCCTACCCAGCCCCACCAAATAACCTGGAAGAAAAAAATGTTATTATTATATAAACAATAGATTGTGATGTGTATCAAAAACAGTCTACAAAAGAGATTCCAAAAAACAAAAAAAAATCACCTTTTTCTATAGCCATGCAGATACAGTCTATGGTGTGCATGCTAACTACCTTTATCTAAAGGAAAAATAAAACTTGTTTTTACTTTCAGTAGGAAGCTACAACTTGGTGCCAGACTCCTAAGCTACCTCCCAAAGAGACGAGGATAGAAGGAACCATCCATCTTGAGGTTCACATTCCAAAGAGAAGTCTCTGAGGCCTTCAAGAAGGACATTCTGGGAAGTGAAAGTGGTAAGTAAGGACTTACATAAATTTTTAATTTACATACTTTGCGAAGAGAGAAAGGATTTTAAAAGACTGTTAAATTGCATTAAGTTTGAGCTAAAGCTCCTTTTGTCTATATTTTGTTTGTCCTAAAAATGTCTTCATACATAATGTCTTAGTTATTTTCTTGTTGCTGAGACAAAATACCCAACAGCTACAAGTTAAAGGAAGAAAAGTTTATTTTGGTTAATGGTTTGTAGAGGTCTCAGTCCATAGCAAACTGGCTTTAGGACAGAGTGGCATGGCAGAAGGGCATCACAGAGGAGAAACAGTCCATGGCAGAGCAGGTAGGAGGCAGGAAGCAGCAGCCTGCCTTCTTTCTGTCTCTTTATGTTCCATCCAGGCTGCAAGCCTATTGATTGGTGCCACCCACACCAGGGTGGCACTTGCATCATCCATACCCAGAACTATGTTAAGCCAGTTTAGTTATCACACACCCTAAACCAGCATCACACATCCATGATCCCACCACCTCCCCAAAGCCCCGCCTAAAACCACATGTGTCTATGAGGGGACATCTAAATACAAGCCATAATACAGAATGAACTGTAACCTACCTTGATATGTAAACTGACTGTAACCTACCCTTGCAAGTGGCTGAGTCTCAGCCAATATAGGCAGCCAGCTATTTAAACCAGTTTCAGTAAGGCAAAGCCAAGCTTTAACCAATCCAGCTGTCATTGTATATCTCTTCTGCTTTCTGTATGCCACTTTCTTTTTTCTGACTATTAATGTTATCCAGCCACCCCAAAGCCCTAGGGCCACTCTGAATCAATTCTGGTTCTGGGGGCTGCGTTATTTGGAAACATTCCTTGCTCAATTCAGTTTTATTTTTAACAACACTAAGAAGAGGAAAAGAGAATGATCTCCTTTCCTTTTGACACCAGATAAAAATCTTATTTCTTATATTTTTATGTACTCTGTTAAATTAAAACTCTTGAGATGGGCATTTATTCAGCCATTACAGGAACTAGCCAGAAAAGGACCAGGTCTTGGGACAAGCAGCAAAACTAGATAGCATTCGGTAAAATGTCCACTAGCCCTAGAGCTAAGAGTATTTTTAGAACAAAAACATGGGGAAGGAAAGTATAAATTGCTTAGGACAGGAGGGCAGTCTATAAGAGAAGGAACTGTTGCTTCTGGATTGTTTGAGGTTAGCAATCCCGAAAGATCATACATAAGTAGGACATAGTTGTCTATGTGGTTGGCTCTGATGGGGTTTAATTCAAGGTTTCAACATACATCCAGGAATATGAAACAGACTTGTATTAGTTTCTCCTGTAGCTACTAACTTTCCTTCTCTTTTTCTTCCTTCCATCCTCTGGCCTTTGTAATTAAGTTTAGGACATTTCAGAATTTTTTTTATTATCCCTTATATTGCCGGGGCAATAAAGGAGTAGTGGAGGATCCATTAAGGGAGGCACTGTGGAGAGTGATTCTCCAGCCCAGTGCTGAAGAGCTCCTGCGGTCCTGGTGCACTGGCCTCCCTGTTCTACCCACTCAGTCCTCCATTTCCTGAGCTCCTTCAGTCCTGGAGCCCCTGTTTCATGAGCTTTCACAAGTGTAGAGGGAGAAAAAAATCCCCGTCTATTTTCATCTGAAGGTTTTCAACTAGGGCTGTGTAAATTAGACTGGACAAAGATAGATTCATGAAAGAAAAACAAGTCTATTATTATGTGTATTACCCACATACACCTGAGAACAGAGACCAATAACCCAACAGGGTGGCTAGAACTTGAGTTTAAATATTACCATCTTAAGTTAAAAACACAAGAAAAGGGGCTCAGGGCTTCTAGGTAGGAGAAGCAAGTTATAGGAAGGTGACCAGTAAAACTATGGTAAACAAGAATTTTCAATAACATTTGTTATGCACATTCAAGTGTGTGCCCTCTCCATTGATAAGTTAAGACTTCTTTTCTTCCTGGGAGAAAGAAATGGTTCTATAATCCTTTCAAAGAGGAAATCTTTATTCTCTGTGTTGAGAGCTTTTCTAGCATCTATTTATTCTCAATGGTCTTCAGGGCAAAATAATCCATGCGCCAAAGAGGCATATGTTGGCATGGCATATTCCCTTCACAGACAATGACCCAGATACAGAGCCCCACAGATCCTTAACCTCATCCCTACCCATCTTTCCCCTGAAACCTGCTATATGCTGCACTGGAACCCAACCTTGAAGCACACGAGGTTTTGTGTTTGACCCTTAAATACAGAAGACTGATTCCCAGCTATGGGGAATGGAAGGGGAAAAACAAATTCAAGCTTCAAGGCAAGTTCCTACATATCTCCTTAGATCTGAGATTAGAAAACAGCTGGCTCTCTGGTAGAGGCACAGGACTATACAAATAGTTCAAGAAGGCGTCACCAGGTCCTGGGAAATGAAATAAAAATTCAGATAGCTGGGACACAGCCCAGACTAATTAAACCATAACTACTGGGCAGTATTTAATGTTCCCCAAGATTCTGAAATGTAGCCAAAGTCAAAAACTGCCTTTGGGAGGCAGAATGTGGAGGGATCTTTTATATGTTAACAGGGATTCTGAACTAGAACCTTTGAGCAAAGGAAAGCCTTTGCAACTTTGTAGGGGAGAGGAATAGGAAGATTTTGGATTTTGAAAGGTTCTCTGATAGCCACGTAGAGGATGGATAGGAGAGGAACAAAGAGGGGAGACCAATTAGGAGATTGTCAGATGTATGGGTCAGTTTTCTGTTGCTATAACAAGTACCTCAGATAATCGGTTTATAAGCAGAAAGGTTTCTTTTGGCTCATCATTTTGGAGGTTGCAGTCCATGGTTACTTGACTGTTGTTTTTGGGTCTGAGGAGATGCAACACATACAGCAGGAGCATGTGGACAGAAAAGAAATGTTGACCTCATGGCTGGGAAGTGAAAGACAGTGAAGGGGGGCGGGTCTCACTATTCCCTATGAAGACATATCCCTGATAACCTGAACGCTTCACTCTGCACACCACCTCTTAAATCTACAGCCTTAGAATACCCGCATGGACTGGGACCCTTCCTTTAACACTTGAGCCTTTTGGAGGATACTTTTCCAAACTACACCTTTCTGTCCCTAACCTCACAAGGTTCATGTCCACCTCACAATGCAAAATGCATTCAGTTTATCCCCCAAATCTCCAAAATCTTAACTGTTCCAGCATTGCTCAAAAGCCCAAGCCCACAGTCTCCTCCGAGTCTCAAGGCAAACTCACCTGTGGGCCCCTTTGAAAATTAAAAAGGAAGTTACACACTTCGAAACTACAATGAGAGGACAGGCAGAAGGTAAATTTTCCTATTGCCAAAAGAAGAAAGAGTCAAACATTAAGGAGGGCTCAGACCAAAATAAGATTGAATCCTGCAGGTAAAACATTAAGTCCTAAGTTTCCATGTGCAGCATACTGGGCATACTGTAATGGGATGTGGGCTCCAAGAGCTTGGGCAGCTCCACCCCTACTGCCTTGCTGGTTGCAGCCCACATGAACACTCTGGCTGGCTCTGCTCACTGCATGCAGCTTCTTTTGATGGGTGTTGTTCACTCACTTTGGCTTCACTCTCACAAAGCCACACATTGCCATCAGAAGCTGCATGCATGGCCTCCCCCTCCCAGGCTTTCCTTTGAAATCTCAGTAGAAGCCTTCATGACACCATAATTCTTGCATTATACATTCTGAAAACATAGCATCAAATGGATGATGCCTAGGCCTATTGCCAACACAAGCTGTACCTGGACCTGCTTGAACCATAACTATAGTAACCTCAAAATATCTTGATGGATTAGGAAGTCTTGGCAGAGTAGGGTGCCCTGGGGCTCTTTTCTCAACAGACTCCCCTGGAGAGTATGAAACAAATTTGCATTTCTATATCTCTGAACCTATCATGGCTGTGGCCTTGCCAATCTCCAAGATGCCTCCTAGTTGTTCCAGTGCAAAACACTTAGTTTCTTTTTAATAGTGCCAATCTCTTTAGCAACTGTAGCCTATTGGCTGCACCTTTACAAGAACTGCTTTTATGAACAAACTATAATTCTTTCAGGAAAATACCAAGAAGAGGAATAGCTGGGTCTAATAAAACTTCTAGCTTTAGTTTTTTGAGGAGTCTCCACACTGATTTCCACACTGGTGGCACTTGTCTACACTCCCACCAACAGTGGAGGGTTCCTTTTTCCTCATAGCCCCAGCAGCATTTGCTATTGGTTGATTTCTTGACAATAGACATTCTTTCTGGGGTAGAATGGAGTCTCAGAGTTGTTTTGATTTGCATCTCTTGAATTACCAGTGATATTAAACATTTTTTCATATATTTATTAAAAACTTTCATATATTTATGAAAAATTTATGACACTTCTTCATCTGAGAAGTGTCTATTCATTTCAAATGCCCATTTTTGGATTGGGTCTTTAAATTTGGGGGCTCTGATTTTTTTGAGGTCTCTATATGTTCTAGATACTACTCCTTTGTCTGAGGAACAGCTGGCAAACTGTGGGTTATCTCTTCACTCTGTTGGTGATTTTTTTGTTTTGTTTTGTTTTGTTTTATTTTTTGCTATGCAAAAGCTTTTTTGTAAGATGATATCCAGTTGTTGATTCTTTGTGATATTTCTTATGTGATCGGATTTTGTTCATAAAGTCTTTGCCTACACCAATATCTTCAAGAGTTCTATTCTATCTTCCAGCAGATTTAATGTTTCTGTTTTAATATTTAGATCTTTGATCCATTTGTATTGTAGTTCAGTGCACAATGAAAGATATGGGTCTCGTTTTATTCTTCAGTATATGTAAAGCCAATTTTTCCAGCACCATTTATTAAAGAGGTTAACTTTCTTCTAGTGAAGGTGTTTGGCTCCTTTGTCAAAGATAAAGTGGCTGAGCATGTTTGGAGTGGTTTCTGCATCTTCTAATCTGTTCCATAGATCCTTGAGTCTGTTTTTGTGTCAGTACTGTGCTGTATATCACAGTAGCTAGTATAATT